GTGTCCAGTTGATTTCCTAACAGCATTCCATCCATTGGTTGAAGTTCCCAAGTCTCTTTGATTTTTTATGAAATGGTAATGAGAACTAGGACGACAAATAGCTTACGAGCCCAGCCTTTACCAGTTGGCAAAAAAAAAACCGAACTAATCCATATTTTTTCTAGAGCCAGCTTCAAAGCATAAAAAGCCTGGTTCCCAATTTTCTCTTTATCTATTTAAAGTAGCCAAGCCAAACCAGGCTTTGCACCAAAACCTGTTTTCATGGATGAGGAAAACCAGGTGCACGAACCCAACCTAAACGCAGCGATTTGGTTGGAACCGTGAACCGAACCAGCAACATTTAATTTCTTGGGTTTGCAGCCAACTTAGTTCAACTATATTGTTTTATTTTTTTAATTTCAATTAAAAGTTTATTAGTTTCATATCTCTTGGGTGCAAGGTAATAGATCAAATATATACTTTATATTTGACATAAATGGGGATGAAAAGCGTAATAAATATCTGTTCCATTCTCGTTCCGAGATCTGTTTATTTATGCATAACGTACTTGGTACTTGGATTTGGTGAGCGTATCGACTCGAACATTTCACTTCCAAGGCGGAACACAGACGTGCCTAGACACCGGCTTGCATTCACTTGGCATACTCGATTGCTCTGAATATTCATTCATGAATTTCAACCGGGCAAATGAATTCTCTCTTTGCAGTCATTGACCAGCAGCAGCAGCAACGAATTTTACTGATGCCTTACATATAATATATATGTGCATCTATATATGCATATATGTATATAGTATAGATGTTTATTTATTTACTTACGGCGTATATTTTGAATATAGTCATACGGTCGTCTGTGCTTGTTGTTGTTTGTGTTTAATAAACAACTGAAAACAAGGGCGCGTGAAAAACTTCCTGGGCCTACCTCGTGGCAGTCGTCAAAGTGTCATCGGGGCGAAAAACAACTTTAACATATTGTCTATAATAAAAGTAGCTTGTGATATCTAAATACACGCCTACAGCAAAGTACGCTCTATAGCCAAAACCTAGTTGGATTGAGTGAGAGGAGTCTAATGGAATATGACAATAGCCAGACACCATATTATGTGGGTCTTGTAATTCTCAAGTTGTATTTCTCTGTGTCGTTGCCCGGGCTGTTTTTCACTATTTCCCTTTTCCGCCCATTTTCCGCTCGTGGGAATATTTCCTTATTAAACCGCTTCAGCTTGAACCCTCCTTGTAAACGAAACTTTTGATAACTCAAACACATACAGCACACTGTACTGTGAAACCGGAAAACCCGCCCAGCTAATTGGGTCGATAAAAGCCTAGAGACGAGCCGGAGTCTCCAGTCTACAGGGCTGACAAGCAGGGCAAGACTCATTTGGAATGTTTTTTACATACGCGTTAAAAAGCATGTTTACCATCTGTACATATTTCAACCTTTAAACATGTCTAGACTTTCTGCAGATTTTGCATTCGTTTATATTTCGCTGTTGTTCTTTCGGAAATGGCTTTCAATGTGCACTTCTTGTGTGGCTTGCAATTTCGCTTAAGCGAAGGTTTCCAAGCTCGAAGCTTTCCCGAGCTGCATAATCAGCATTTAACAGAACGTATACTATACATATATGCTTAAAATTTAATTTTAAACCAAAAAAGTCGAGAGTGCACGACACGGAGATAGCCTAAGTTAAAGCCGGCCTAAAAAGTTCTTCTCTCTTAAATAATATTTTAGTTGAAAGTCCGATTGCTATGAACATTTCAGCTTATATTTACATATGGGCTTTTCTCTTGCAATAATATTAATAGTTAAAAGTTAATAGTTTTGGGGATCCTGAAACAATGAGTATCTCAGTTAAAATTTCCGATTCGGGGCTAGTATTTGATAATATAACAGCTTAGTTTTATTTTGTAATACTAACAATACTAATTATAGACTCATCATTTCTCGCTTCGCACAGATAATTTCATCATACCCGCTGAACACATGCTTATGGCTATAAGGTATTCATATAGAAAAACCAAAAAAAATTGTCTGTTGGCCCTGAGCTGGCGTTGTAAAGATTGTCGCTTCCATTGCGTATTTTTATTCTGTTTTCGCTTTCAAGCCAAAAGCAAATAAATAACGCGGCTATTCGAGAAGAATTAGAGGCAGCAGTAGAATTATGTACCCGTAGGCCATAAAATGGGACCCAAAGAACACGTACACAAATGCGTCATCATGCCAGAGACTTGCAACTCTGACTTCCAAAGGAATCAGACTTGATCCCCACAAATGCAACTAGGCCCAGAATCTTCCGCCTTATCAGGTCTTGGTTCCACGAAATACCAATACGCACGCAAAACTACTTTATATATATAAACTGTACATAGACTGACTGACTGACCGACTGACTGACTGACTGATTGGGGATCAACGCACAGCCCGAACCGTAAGAGCTGGGAAGCATGCAATTTTCACTGTTGTTACCTTATGTGATGAAGGTGCACGTTAAGGCGGGGTTTCGGGAAATTCCGCCCACATGTGCGGAAAAATCGCGTAAACGTTTATATGAAACTTTTTTGTTTACCATTCGATCGGCCTAAAACTCATTTTCAAAGATATTTGTTCAAATTCATTTGAGGGGTGTTTCACACTTTTCGAAGAAATGCGTTCCCACTTGGTGGAAATGTGGGTCAAAGATTTGGTGGGTGATGTTTCGCGCTCAAATTCATTTCCAAGGATCTATATGAAAAATCGTTTGAGACGTGTTTCACATTTTTCGCTAAAACAAAGCTTTCTAGGTGGAAAATGCGATTTTAAGATTTTTTTGGTGACCTTTAACTTTTGTCAGATTTGCATCAAACTTATTTTCAAAGCTCTACATAAGAACTTAATGCGGAAAACGGTTCTATAAAAGATTTTTACTTACAATCCAATCGGGATCAAAAGCATTTTCAAAGATCTTTGAGAGAATTTATTTTATAGCTGCCACGGGCAAGCCCGGGATATACCCGCTAGTATATATATATGTGTGTTAATATTGGGGAATGCGGGATATATGCACAGGGCATATACTGTTGCCGAGCAGCGGGTACATTTGCAATGCTTATCAGCTACATTTTCAGAAGATTTCGAAATGAGTTAAAACAAAAAAAAAACGGTGAAGACTAAATACCCTTATACACACATGATATTGCCGTCCATTAATACACGCGCTGATTGTTCCTATCGGAGCCGAATGATATAGTTATCGGATGTTCAAATTTCAATATATGTTGATTTTTTTCTTCCGTTAAGTTTTTTAGCCTAGGCAAACTCTAAACAATTGGCAACTTATTTGCGCAGTCGCGTGTTTTTCTGCTTTTCATTTTCCACCCGTTTTCCGCTCGTGGAATGAATTTGTAATTTAACCCTTCTTCCTTGTGTTGGGATAAAACACAAAAAGTGTTCTCCACCAATCACACAGTCTATCCGGACAGTTCTATATACATGACTCTTGATTTTGAAGCTAATTGATTTTTTCCTTTTTTTTTTTATCTAGTTGTGTCTATTCAGCGTTTGACTGAAGCAACATAAATTGTCGACAAACTGATAAAAAGAAAAATATTGGTGCTGATATCTTTAAGACAATTGCGCCTAATTGCAAGGCTAGAAAAAAACCGAAGCGAACATTCCACAGCAACAGAACGGAGCACAGCTTGAAATATGGCCCAGTTTGTATTTGTTTTTTTTTTTTTTTTAGATGTAGCTGTAAACCATGTTTATAGCGTGTCAGATCTGACCCATTCCAAACTGTACTCATACATATATGGAGGGATTGGGGCGGGGAACAGCATTAATGCATTAATTGATCGCAGTGCCGCTTAATTGTGAGTCTCGGAATGGCACATGAAATTCGTTGGCGTTGTCGCATTTTGATTGACTAAATTACGCATCGCTTCAAGGGCAGCGCGGGGGAAGTGGGGGGGGGGGTTGGTCGAGGACAGCAGCGGCTAGGGACAGGGGCTAGGGGAACTAGCCAATTTGCTGTAAAAATTCTAGACGCCGCTATGGATGCTGAGTGGTTCGGTTCGGTATTTGTTACTCACGGTTCCTGTTTGGTCACGTAGTCATTTGACAATAATTGGAACTTGTCGCTATTTTTTTTCTTGTTTCTCTATATATTTATTGTTGTATTTTTTTCTTTCTGGTGTGAACACATTTTTTGATTATTATTTTCTTGCTGTTGTTCTTGTTGTCGCTTAGCTGGACTACGTAAGAATATATGTACGAAAGCAAAAAAGTTCTATATATAGAAAGCAAAATCAAAAATGTTAATGTCGCTGCCAGCGATTTTTGTTTTGTTTGATTTCATTTTATTTTCTTTATTTTGTTGTTTTACTTTTGCTGTGTTTTGTTTTGTGTTTTACGTATTTTTGCTATCAATAAATTTTTGTTTTAAAATTAATTCGCTTTGATTATGACTTTCTGACTTTCTCATCGATTTCATATATGTTCGCTCAATTCATTTGAATTTTCCTCCCAATGTCAGCGTACGTGCCTCAATGCAAAATTGATCGAAACCGATAATACTTGTAATCGATTTATGATTTCTGCTTGAAAAAAAACTGTATTTCAGCTGCAAGTAATGTGCACAGCTGATCCTTTCGCCCCCCTCCCACCCCTTCCTATACCAATCGATAATTGGGTTAGCAAGCTATTCGGGGTAAAGGGCTACGTCCCTTAAGTTCCATTTAGTTTTTGCATCAGCGTTTGTTATGTTGTTGCTGCTGCTTATCGCAGCTGAGTCTGAAAAGTCGCATTGCCAATCACTGCTAAATTGCTGTACTGCTGCTTACCCCTGACCCCCTCCACCCTATGTCTTACTCGAGGAACTTTATTTATAGCGCATAGACGCAATAGCAAACGGCAACGAAGAGCGAGAAACTGAAACATGTTTATGTTTGCTGAATATATTTTGTTTTTTTTTTTTTTGCGTATTTTGCTATTTGTTTTCGTCTTGTTTCTCAATTGTTACTCACATGAAATTGTTGTGGTCTCCGTCTGCCGCGCTTCCTCTCTGTCTATCGCTAGTTCTCCTTTTGCTCCTTTAGTACGCTAGCTGTTCTTTATTTTGGTTTTCTTTTGTGTGCTCCTTCGTTTTCGTTTTCGATTTCACATTTGCAGTTAAGAGAACACCATAAAAAAAAACACAACACTTAAGAAAAATAATAACAACAACCGATCGAAAACTTTGACCAATTTTCCAACGCAGAATTTTGCACGCGCGCTTTTTGCTGTTATTTTTTTTTTTTTTTGGCGAAATGTTTTGAATCTTTTGTGGTTTTATTTAAATTGTTGTTACTCTTTTTGTTGTTGCTGTTGTAGTTGAGATCGAGATCGTTGGCATATGTTCAGCGCCTGCAAATGCGCTTTGTGGCAAGTTGAATGCACTTTTTGGTAATCCCACGGATGCGCATGCGAATGCGAATGCGTATGCGGATGTGATGTGATGTGTGGCGTTTACCGTTAAATTCTATCTGTGCTGTCGCTGGCGCTGGTGCTGGCTCTGCGTGTACTCGTATCGCTCCTGGCTGAGCCAGAGATTGTGATCCTCGCAGCCGCTCTCAAAAGCCACACGCCAGTGCACCATTACAACTCTGCCTGCAATTGATTGCCCCTCGGGCTATGGCCGCAATGATATTCAATAATGTTGTTGCTCTTCTTCTTCTGGCTCTGGCTGACGATAATGATGTTGTTGCTAATGTTGTTTGGGCTTGTTCGATGCTCTTCTTATTATGTGCTCTTCTTCGTCTTCTTCTTGTTGGCCATACAACTTGGTCGCAGTCAACTTTCCTTCAAGGCTGCTCTAACTGCCTCTTGGGCTAGTTCAAGTTGAATGCCAAGCAACTTTTACCAGTTTGTGTGTCTGCCTGTTAAGGATCTACAGTGGGCTTTGAACTTTAGACCATGCCAACAACAACGACAACGACAACGGGAACGGGAACGGCACGACGTATACGTGACGGACCGGTCTTTGGGATGCGCTACATAGAATGATACCGATACGAAGGCGAACTCTGTAGTTCGATCGAGTGCTTCTCGGGAGGCGGGCAGCTTTCAAAGATTGCTGAACTGAACCGTTGGCGAGCAGCGTTGAGCAGCAACTGTTCGGACGAGTCGAGCATTGTCGTTGAGGCTGCCGCAGTCGCTGCTGCTGCCGGCATCGTCGTTGGCGCTGACGTCGACGATCATCACAGATGATGCCGCACAGTGGGCAAGTTTCGTTATTTAATGCTGCAAAATAATCACAGCCGAAACAATGTGAAACAGCATTTCAAAGATGTATAATAAATATTGATTGGTCATAGAGTGGAAGACTTAACCGTGGCGAACATACGGCTATGCACAATATACTATTACTCGATCTTAGCTTTACTGCGTCGTTTCACAAAATATATAAATATATATAAAATTGTTTAATAGTTTCCAGCTTCAGTCGTGCCTATGTCCTGATTGAATATGTTTTCATATTTTTATTTCCAATTTGAAAAAATTATCCTATTAAGTTACTTGCATCGCAACAAAATAATCCATATTTAAAATGAAATACCAAAAGCACCATCACATTTACTATAGTTTTCGATTAATTGTAACGCGATTCTGGCCCCACAGTACGTCGTCTGCGTAATCAGCTGATGACCGCCTGAGCGAATCGCTCCCAGCCGCTCTCTTACGTTCTCACTCTCTTTCAGTATGTTGGCCTCTCCATATCTACTGCGCTGCGCGTATTTTTGTTTTTGCTGCTGCTGCTGCTGCTGCTGCTGCTGCTGCTGCTGCTGCTGCTGCTGCTGCTGCTGACAGGACATAAGCACATATGTATGTATATATGTACATACATATGTGCATATTTCTCGCCGAGACACTGATAAGCGCCTTATCTGATTGCCAAGTGACACAATGAGGTGATGATTTTGATAAGGATGATGATACGCGAAGACATTTACGATCGGCACACTCTTAAACCTGAAACCGGGTACTGCGAGAATAAATTGCACACATTTCGCCGAATTTCAGAGCTCAGCGTCATCAAATAAACAGAACTGGGAAATGCCGAAAGCCACAGATATTTCTCGTTGTGTAGAATATATCAACTAAAATGCATTTTTCCTTAATTCATTGAAATATTCCCAACCTGTTTGCGAATGCCCCATAAAGAAACTGTTAACAACAGTTTGTTCAACCGTTTTTCGCTCAGTGTTGATGTGGGATGGCGTTGGGGTAAGCCCGGTATAATCCCTGTTTTGGACACGTTAATACTCTGTCAGATTGTAAAGATACCGCGTGCCATGCGCACTTTGGCAACACTTTTAATAGTTCAACAGAACTGTGCTAAGCTCCAAGTAAATAAATATGTACGTACAAATCATAACTGAGTGTTCACAAAAGTTTTGATTCGAGCTAATCATTAAAAGCCCAGCCCGGCTTAGCATGCAGGTCCGGAGAAAAGCTTAAGATTATGGAAAACGCGTCGGGTTTCCTTTTAAGGGTCTTTTATTGAGATTAAGAAAAAAGCTTACTCTTAAGTCTAGTTACTGTCCCCCAAAGACTGCACTTTCAACCCTTGACACCTTTCGAAATCAGTTTCACTATTAACCTATTAGGACCCAATGCAAATATTGTTACTATATGTATATACACACACATATATGTGTAGAGATAGATAGATGTACTATACATATATTTTTATATATATATATATTCTAATCACAATTCAGATTGCGTCATGCAACTTTTAGTCATGTGATTTGAGAGCAAAGCATCGAAAAGTTCAAAAAAAAAAAAGTATATACATATGTACACATGTAAAGGTACACTCGGGGTATCGAACCTTATATACCCTAGCAGATATATTTTATACTTAATAACAATTATTGGATTTTTATCTGCATATCATAAAAACACTTATCGGCTCGTTATCGTGCATTCAAATTCCTTAATTATTGTTTGCAATTTGTTCATTGGCACGGAGATATATATGTAAGTATCGTTGCTTTTTTTTTCAATACAGATTTATTTTTAATTCAGACAATGTAAATACTTTTGTGGATATTTTGATGAACTACTTATTAAGATGTTACCACTATTTTCAAGATATAAAATTTACTTGCCTCACATACATGTATGCTTTGTCACATTCAGAGTTGCATTTCATTTGAACCGGTTAGTAATTTTGGTAAGTGTTCCGATAAATCGCGCTGCTTGAACGTAGGTTCACCGGACACAGAGCATAATGGCCTAGACCACGCTATTTTTGCTTTGGTTGAACCATTTTTAAAGAACACAAAGGTTCAATTCGGTTCACGCTTCGGCATTCTTTTGGGCAATCGATATGGTTTAAGGCTCGGTTGATGGTTTTTGATTTCCTCAACCGGTTCGGTTCAAAGCCGGTTGGCAGCCCTGCTGTCCCCACATACAATACATAAGCTAAGATACTTCAGGCTGAAATGGATTACTATGCGCACATTGAGCCTTCGATCTGGCTGCAAGTTGGGACTTCGTTCCCGGATTTGAAGCGTGCGTAATTTTACCGTTGCTTTCTACATGCAGTGCAATGACTCGCTAAAGATCAACGATTTCTAGAGAATTTCATAGGCCCGACCACCCCCAACAATGGGCAGCCCTTGGGCTTGAGCCCGTACGCAAACTGAATTTTTGTGGGTTTTTTATAGCAAAAACGTGATCGGAGCCTCTCTGGCAGCTGGTTCTGAGAGCTCGATCTGGGCTTGTTACTTAGTGTCCAAATAGATATTGACGAAAAGCTTCTGCTTCTATTGACAAGCAGCCACAATTGTGGCTCATCTCGCAGCGGCTGCCCATTCGCAGTTGGTGTCACGTCTGCCGCCTTATCAGAGCCAGCGGCAGTCGGGGCTCAGTGGGGCCGTCTTCATCTGGTTAAGTAGCTGGTAGCTGGCAACTGGCTTACGAGCCCTGCATCAATTAGATAACTGTGCAAGTGAGAGCCGTGCGCAGATAACTTGGCCAAAATTTATAGGCATTGATAAGACTTTGAACTTTATGAGCCAGCTCTGCGACGGGAAGTGCTTAGAAGCAGCATTGTCATCACTGCCGCGTCGTTATCAATCGGTATTAGGCTTATCTATTGCTAGGTAAACAACACAACCAGACAACAACAGATATGAGTCCAACGATGCTCCGAGCACGAAATCAACTCAGATGCTGGCTGCCAATGTGGGGCCGCGAGCAAAAGCTTGAGAGTCTCGAGCATTTCAGGCAGATGAAAGGACCTCGCCATGTTTAGCAGAACCAACCAACTTTTAACTTACTTTCCAGGCTAAAAACTCACATGGAACAAAGAAGTTTTATTTCAGATTTAGTGCTGCAATTATATATATATATATATAAATATATTTATATATACATATCTAACGAGGTTTAAATTGGGACCCTAATCTTCAGTTGCCAGCCTACTCCAGCAGTCTGCTTCTTCTTAATCTTCCGTCGGACAATTCTCGGTCTTCCTACATAAGTTAATTGTCGGCGATATAGATTCTCCTCTTCTGCTAGGGCGTCTTCAATTCTCTGTTCCGTCTTGACCTGTCAGGAATAATCGACCCTTTTTCCTACCAACGTGCACAACAGACTACGCTATGCACAATCCTTTTCGCGTGTTATGTAAAAATTATAATAGTTTGCATCACGTTCTTTCTACCGAACTTTCTCTACCCCTAATAAAATCGTTGCTTTCAGGATACCTTCGGGAACTCACTGACCATTCCCAGCCATGAGCAGGGGCATAGCTTGCCGGTCAAGCTATAAATTTTCCCCCACCGAATCGGTCATTTCCCATTACTCTTTACTACTCTTTATCCTATCTACCTAACACTCTATATATATTAATAAATTCTTTCCTTCTCTTTCCCTATTTATTGTATTTTCTTAAATAATACAGTAAATTACGATTATTTTTAATTTTACTCAAGAACACTATTTTCTCTACTTACACCCTTCTTCTTTGCTTTAGGCTCTAATATCATCACTGACAAAATTAGCTGTAAGAAGGGGAATAGCTGGGCGGACGGGCAAATAAAACACCTCAATCGGTCGGTGATGCTAAGTATTAGAAAATTGTGTACTTTAACTAGACTTTTAGCATTTAATTCTCATAATGTATGTATAGTGTATTGAATAATTGGGAAGACACTCGTCTTGTCGACCAATAATAAATGAATAAATAAATAATAATAAATATTTGCTCATAGATATAGAGAATAATTAGAGCAATGCATTATTCTTAATCGATTATCCCTATGACAGGCATAAAGTGTAATACTCTGCTGCTGTTGATGCTGCGCAAGAATATATACACTATATATGTATATATATCATATATATATCAGCTACATAATATACATATGTATATATCAGCTATATAATATATATCCGATCTGTCGTATGGACTGCCTGCATCATGAATTCCGGCTGTTGTTCTGCCTTTTAAATTCCTTTTTACGATCAACATTTCAACTGGGCAACCCCTCAAAGATAAATTATAACATTTTAAAATGAATATACTACTAACCAATAGGATTTTTAACATAAATATTTCCGTATACCGAACATTTATTCTTCAAAAACCGAATTTATCTCCAAGTATATTGCACGGTCGTTGATGTTAACTTCCAGCTAAGTTTTAGCAGGCAGTCTTAGTGTTTATCGATAGTCGTTGCTCTCCCTTGCCGAGAAAGAGAGAGAGAGAGAGAGAGAGGGCATCGCTGAAAGAGAGTAAACATCGAGTGCTGTTGCACTCGCGCATATGTAAACATCAAATTTGTTAGTAGTTGGCATCACAATTCAATTTGTTTAAATTGTGCCTTTATTTATTTAGTGTTTTGTTAAACAATTTACAATAAACGCGGCTGCTTCCCGTTATTTTGCTAGCCTAAGAAGTCGCGATATACGAGTACACCCCAAATCGAAGGGCAATAGATTCTAGAAACTAGAAGCTGGTATCCTGCGATTCCTCTGCTCAAATACATAGATAAGTGCAATACATTTAGCTATGCTTAGCACGACTGATTTGTATACCCTTCTAGAGGGTATATATTAATTTCTTTATTTAATCGTTTGTTGTTGCTGCTGTTAGTTATTTGTGTATTCGCTTTGGCATTTACGCTCACCCGACATTTATGACTACTTTGGGCGTAAATAGGGGTAAGTAAATCAATAAATATACAATTAAGAGCGAATTGAAATTGCTTTAGTAGTTTTCTTTTCTTTTTCTTTTTCTTGTTTTTTTTTTTTTTTTTTTTTTAGTTTTTTTGTATAGTTTTTTCTAACGTTCTCGCGCATATGGTTCATGTGCTTACGCGTATTTACCTTTATAATTCCTAGCTTTTTGGCTTATTTGTATTTTAGTGAACGGTGGGCAATAAACGAAACAATAAAAGAGAATGTAAATAGTGTACCAACATTTTTCATTTGAGAATGCAAATAAGCCACAAATAACAACATAAATAACATAGATAATTTAATTAAAAGCCAAATCCAAAAAAATTTAAACTTTTATATTGTTTGTATCTCGTTTTACTTGACTTTTATTGGCGTCTATGCTCATTAAATTTTTTCTTCTAATGTACGCTTTTTTTTATTTATATTTTTTTGTTTTGTTTTCTTTTTAGTTTCGTGTAACTTGTTGAAATTGATTTAAATTTGACTACCGACACACAGATGCACATTGAGATTGTACTTGAATACAATATGATATAATTAATAATTATTTGGTTGCTGCTTTTGTATTTGTTTAAAATTAGACACCGTTTACAATTACAAACATACAATAAATACAATACAATTACATACACAACGAATTTTGGGTTTTCTTTCTACCGATTTATAATTTGTAACCGCCTCCTAAAAGTATGCAACATTTTGTGTATTTTCTCGCCTCTGCACTTCTCGTGAGTGCACAGAGGCGATTGTGCGCGTGTGTGCGTGTACATATGTGTTTTATATATACTTGATTCGCTACAAGTACGTCTAAATCTGATTTTCTACTCCGACTTGCTCGGTGCGCTATGCCATTATATATACATATGCAATATATATAATATTCTAAGTATTACATATGTATGTACGTATGCTATTATGTATGCATGTGTATGTGTGTATCTGATTAAAAGTCGACGCATTTCTCTAGCTCAGGCGTGGGCGTGGCGCAGCTTACATCGATTTCTAAGCTGTCGAAATAAGCGATTGAGATGGAGTTAAATTGATTGATTGCCCTACCATCAAGCATGTAGCTCAGATACGATGAGTCGGGGCAAGGTATGGATGTGTGTGCGTTTCTGGTACCTATACCGATTGTTACCTGCCCTCTCTTTCTTTCTTTTTTTTTTTAGTCATTTTGGCTCGCTTGCCAATTCCTTTGTCCCTTATTTGTCTGTCTAACGTATGTAAAGCTCTCTTTAGTAAGTGTCCTTATCTTTTTATATATTGCATCTATCTCTCTCTCTCTCCCTCTTGCGTCCAGCTCTGTTGCAGTTTTTCTCGTTGGCTATTGCTCTTACTGCCGCTCTCTGCGCTCATTAAGTGTGTGTGTAAAAGCAACTGATCTTACAAGCACACACATATACACAAACACAAACACACAAATCACGATGCACGCCGATGCGCTCGGAAATATGATGTCATTTTTTTCGTTTGGTTTACATAACGTTTAGAATTTGTTTAAGTTTTTAGTTTTTGTTGCGTTTAGCGATATGCGAGTGTGTGTGTGTGTGTGTGTGTGTAGTATGAGGGAACCAGGGAACACAACGGAACGCATTGTGAGTAGAGCTGTATGTAAATGGGACTTAAGAGAGAGCGAGTACTTAGTAAATAACTAGCGAGTATAAAAAAAACGCGTAGCGTGTTTGTTCTATGACTTGAATTGATTGATTCGATTGTACATTTAGATTGACTTCTCAAATGCTGAACGCTGATAGCTTTGTAACATGCTAATACAAGTATAAGTTTAAGTATAAGTATAGGTATAAGTATAACTTTAAATATAACTACAAGTACTCGGTATGTACTCGTTTGTCAGTGGTAGTTGGTTTTGTTTTTGTTTTGGTTTTTGTTTTAGTTTTATTGCTTTATGCTAATTACCTTAGTGATTATTTTTATATATGTATATTTGTTTGTTTCGATTTGGTGTTATCGGTTACAGTTTGATAATTGCGTAGTATGGCTGATGATTTGTTTATTTGATCGATTCATCTAAGCTGCATCCTGCGATGCACTCTTTCGCGACGGTTATTTTATTTTTAATCTAACTTTCGCTGCTGCTTTCTATTTTTATTTCGAGAAGCACGTGGCAGTTTATTCAGTGGTGTTTTCGTTTCGATAAGATTTACGACAAAGGACGAGAGTTTCGAATTGGATTCGATAAAGGTAAGCAACGAAGGGCTAGGAATGGTCCTGGGTGTTAGGAGTACGTATCGTTGCACGGGCGACACTTTAATTTAACGATTAACAAAATGACGTTAAGAACACACGCGACCTAGTGGCAATAGGCAGGCTATTATTTAATAATAAGTAACAACGTTTAATATACATCGAAGTATGCGTCCAAACACGAGCACTACAGTATAACACACATAACTTCCTTCCGACCGCCATCCAAGAATTAACACATAAAAATCGGCTAAGCCCGCGCCAAAGCCGAACCCCGCGACAGCCAATTCGCGCAGCGTATCTCAACGTTTTACCCCAAAGAGATTGGGTATTGACTTGATCTTCTTGCGGGAGCAGTTGACGTAGTCCTTGTACATGTCGGAGCGCAGATAGCGCGAGTACGAATCGCTCTTCATCAGATGATACACATGCGAGGCGGCCACATCGAAGCACCAGCGATTCGGACCATTGGGCGAATTGACGGCTTCGCGGGCCAACTCCACGGATTTGGAGTCCACGTTGACCGGACAGGGCGCATCGGGTGCGAGGAACTCTTGCCAAATCTTGTGTATGGCCTCCTTGATTTCGGACTGTGGCAATGCCTTCATCTCCTGCACCGATTCCCAGAACCTGATCAAGATTACAAAAGAAAAAACATCAATAACTCCGATGCCTGAGTGTTGTGAATTGTGTAGCTCACTTGAGATTCTCGCCACTGTACTCCTTCTCCAGAAACTTGGTAAACTGATCGCGTCCAATGGCATCGTTAAGCAGCTCGCGCAGGCTAAATGCCCATCTCTTGACCCGACGCACAGGAACATCTTTGCTGCTTGGAGAGATAAGGCTCAATCTTAATTCGACTGGCCATATCTTGGGGACCCTGATGCTGATGCTTACCTATTTTTTTCAGTATCCCACATCTCGGTGCTGTCCGTTTGCCAGGGATTGGGTAGCTCCGGCGAGGTTAAAAAGTAATCGAACTCATTGTACTGATCGTAGTAGGCAACCAAACTGCAGTAAGGAGCAAAGGTAAGGAAGTGTCAGACGGGGTTGGTCGAACTGATGGCTCTACTCACGCTTCGGCCGCCTTGGACACTTTGATTGTGCGCCGCTCGAGCTTCTGTTTGCGCAGCGTAATGATGCGCGTTAGCTGCTCGACGGGATTTTTAGCCACAGAAGCGCCAGCGGACCCGGTTCCATGACTGGAGCCGCCGCGTCGATACGCCTTCTTGATATCTATCTCGGTGGTATTGACACAGCCCGGCATGGGCCGATGCACATCCCAAAAGGCGCGCTCTTGCGAATCCAGTACCTTGCGCTCCAGTTTGTCGCGCTTCTTAGCCACCTTGCTCTGTGACTCGGCCTGGCAGTTGCAAATAGAGTATGTGAATGAGCTCAACATGGGATTAGCCATTTGACTCACCTGCATGAAGATGAATTCCCATTTGCGAGAGAACATTTTCTGCAGCTTAGCCAGGTTCTCGGCCTCGTAGTCCGCCAACTCCAAACGCGTCTTGTTTTGCATGGTGCGTTTGCACAGATAAACCGCATAGTCAGTGTTCTCCGGCTCCCAGCAGTTTGATGGCCAGAAATATGGCGTCTGGAATCTAAAGCAACAACCAAAGACCGACGTTGGATGTTATTTGTCTAGCGCCTAAGAGTATGCAGTGCCCTCTCACCTGTAGAAAGTGCCATCGTTCTTCACGGTCAGCGCATGATCATCAATGGGAAAAATGTAGCCGTGTGAGCTAAGCAAATGGGCAAAGTGCAGCGCCTCTGTCACGTCCTCCACGTCGAAGTTCTTCAGTATCCATGCAACAAGATCGGCTCCGGTAAATACCGATGGCACCTTGCTCATAAACGCCTTCACCGTGCGCACAGCCACACCGCCCGTCTCCGCCTGCATCTTTTCGATGATGGTCTCCATCTGGAATTTTCCACAAGTATTTACCTCATTAGACATGTTATAGAAAACCAAGAAATTAAATTCAAAAAAATGTCGTCAAACATAACATGGTTACACTATGTTAAATTTATATTTAACAGAACTGTTGCGTGCATACATTTAACATAACAGACATAATATGTTAATAACCTTTTCAAATGTAGAGGTTAATATGTAATGTAAGCCAAACAGTAACATAATGTTATTCTGTTAACATTATGTAATTGTGAACTATTTGATAACTTGACTATTACAGTTTTCTCAGAAAATGCGTAATTCATAGTGAAAACATCTGCGACCTGATAACGAATATATATTTCTGATCAGGAGGCTGAGCTTAATTGATTGATTTTAGAAAAACTATTATATTTTCCTAACTTTAAATCTTATTTTATAAGACTTGGCATGGAACCCCTTTTTTTGATGAATCTGCCGGAATATGTTATATAGCTGTCATAGTCACTATCGGTCGGAAAGTTCTTATACTGATGTGTTTAATGTTTAAACGGACTCAATACCAATTATTAGTTTGCTTTGTTCCTAGGCATCGGAGGATTGAATTCTTTTATCCCAGCAATTGACTGCTCTCTTTTATTGCTATACTTAAGTTATAGATAAAGATATAGTTTATAAACTATTCACCTTCAACTATTCAACTGGTTAATACAAGATCCATTCATTCAAACAAAATCACTAAAGAACGTTTATCATCCGCACGCCGAACATTAAATACCCTAGTAGACGTGTGTCTTGGAAATGATTTTAAAGGATAGCGTTATATCCCATAGGATATAGTAGTCCGATTTGATACGGCTTTGTAGATAAAGGAATATTGAATCTCTAAATCACTTGGTTCAGTGAAGATAACTTAACAAATAGATAATATTTCGATACACATTATCTCTTTCGACACAATGCTAGGTAGCTATATCGTATATATATATATATATATATATATATATATATATATAAATATGGTAGTACGATGTTGGTACAACACACGGATTCTATAAGGAGCATAGTTCAACATCATGATATATAAAAATTTTCGTTTTTCCTATAATAACTGAATTTTCGATCAAATTATCCTATAGCAGCTTATAGTATGATGATCCAACAAGGCTGATGCAAGGTTTCATGGCGAACACATTAAAACAGAGACTAGTTTGGATATCAACAAACAGATGCAGACTGATTAGGATTATATATACTTAATGGGGTCGGGCACGTCTCCTTTGAATTGTTTAAAAGAAATTGAGAACAATTCTTAGAATAATACGATTTCCATTTGAAGAATCTATGGAAATGTTTATGCAGTGTTCCAAATATCTCGGGTATTCTCAGAACTGGAACGCTAATATTTCGAGAGGGCTGATGCTTACGAGCTAGATCGATGTATATTGGTATGCCTTTTAGTACAATACGCACCTTTTTATAGACCAGTATATTGGGCGCATCTTCGTTCTTGTTGCCCCGCTGATGCGGCTGCTGCGACACGGACGGCGCTGGCGGTGGCTGCGGCTGAGGCTGAGCCGATTTTGACTGCGATTGGGATGGCGACGGCGACTGCGACGACGACGGCGATGGCGATGGCGAGGAATGATGATGGTGGTGATGATGATTGCTGCCCACGCTGAGCAGGCCACTTGACTTGGCCGCGGATGTGCCGCTGCCACTCGGCGCTGTTGCATCCCGGATGCTCACCGTCTTGCTGGACAGCGGCGGCGTTGCAGCGGCCACAGTGGTTGTGCAGTTGTGGCTGCTACTGCAGCTGCTGCTGCTGCTAACCGTGGCCGCAACGCTGACTGTTATCGTGGTGCTGGTCGCCCCGCTGCTGCTGTTCGCATTGCCACTGTCCGGCTGTTCAGCTTCTGCCTCAGTGGTAGCTAGAGGTGCACATGGAGATTCGGATGCAGATGCGGATGCAGATGCGGATACGGATGCGGATAAGGAGGCGGCTGCGGCTGCGGATGTAGTTGCGGTTACTGTTGCCGTTGCCGTTGCCGTTGCAGCTGCCGTTGATGTTGCAGTTGCAGTTGCTGTTGCCGGCCCATTATTGTTGCCGTTTGGCGCTGGCGTTTCCGTTGATATTGACGCTGGACTGCTATCCGTTACTCCTGTTGCCGCCTCGGATGCTTCTTCTGGCGAAGGCGTTGGCGTCGCTGTCGCTGCTGGTGTCTTGGGCGCACTGTTCATGGCCAGCGCATTGGTTGCTTGCGTGCTACTCTGTGTTTTGTCCGCTTCCGAGTTCATTGTTACCATTGTACACCCGCCGCTGCTGGTTTCTGCGCTTCTTCAAGCTATTTATAGACGGGCTCCGCCCGGCAGTCTCAGGTGCTATTTTGGCACTGCTGTCTGTTATGCCGTTATGCTTATGTGTATCCTTTTGCGTGCGTTATCGACCCTACTCCGTCCCTCTTCGCGTCCGTGTAAGCGTTGTCTGTGCTTGTGTCTGTGTCGGTGTGTGTGTGTGTGTATGTGTGTATGCTGTATACCGACAGCGCCAGGCAAAATGGTGCAGCTCCACTCGAAATAGATTTCAATTGCGTTTCGTCATTTATCCAGCTCCATATTTTTGCATCGCTCGCCGCACTTGTCTCCTGCTCTGCGGGGGCGCCACTTCAGCCACTTTTGCCTTTTTGCAACGTTTGCGCTTTTCGCTGCTGCTGGCTATCACAATTTTCGCTTGCATAAAAAAAGCGCAGCTGAAGCGTTCAACACGCGCACATACACACACACGCACACACGCACGCACGCACACACACACACACGCAAGCACGCACCCGCACGCAGGCCACGTACACGTATACGCACCAACACAGACGCTCTTGACACTCCTGAGCAAAGCAAGTGCGCAATTTTTACGTTCAATAACTTTTTAAATTAATTATTTAGTATTGCATATACCGAAAATTGTTATAAATTTCAGTTTTGCTCCTTTTGCTCGAGTCTCTGGCTGCTGCTGGTGCTGCTGCTATTGCTACTGAAACTGACTCTGCTGTTGCTTCTTCTTCTGCCTTGGCTTTAGCTGCTTCCTCTTTTTGGCGTTAGCCTGTAATCATTTTACTGCTGCCTGGAGGGGGTGCTCGGTGGGCAGGGGAGGCCAAAGTCAATTCAAGTGCCTCTGCCTACGTCGTGTGCGTCGTTCACGTTCTCGTCGCGGCTTCGTGCCTTATTATGAGGCGCTTCCTGTAGTCGATTTGCTGTTGCAATCGATTTTTGTTTGCCCAACCTCCTACCACCTACTTCACAAATACACACACATACACACATACACACACATACACGCACATACAACACATACAACACATGCACGCACCAACGTACACCCACATAAGCACGCCCACACACAATGACGCGAGTGAGCTCTCTCTCACTCTCACTCTCTTTTTGTCGCTCACGCTCTCTTTTCTTATTGCTCAGCAACAGCTGTTGTCAGTGCGCAAGGGCTGGTTGCTAAAAGCAATGCGTTGGCATGGTCACACCGGCAAATATGAATTTGTAATTGCTTTATTTAGATGAATACGATTTTCGGCTACGCTTATTTGTAAACAATTTTGTTATAGCTAACAAAAAAAAAATATACATACAAAATGTATAATATATATGTATTTATATATATGCTGCCTATTATTGTTTTCTATATTCGTTTTATTGATTGGGTTTCACTTGAAGCTCTGCTATTTGCACATGTGCTTCAAATGAATTTATAGTGAACTTATTATTATGGCTTTTATACAAATTTGCGTTTGAATTTAGCTGACAATTCTATATGTAACTTGAAAATCATTCGGAAGTGAGCTTATTTAAATAAATAAAAAAAAAAACGTAGTTAATTATGGTTATTTGATAAGCTTATAAACAGGATAGTTTAAAACAGTATTCATGATTTTTTGTATGCATATTGCTGCACAATTTAGATGCTAAGTAGGACAACGGAACCTTTACGGAACCTAAACTGTTGCCCCTTTAAAGACTAAGTTTTGTGTAGGCGCCCAAATAACGCGTTACTCGTTTATTTGGCGTACACAACTCGTACATGTCGTATCCTTAACGTATTTACACAAGTTTATCAATATGAATACATTCGTAATCCGCAATGTATATGTGTATATAGCTATGCTTTATAAAAATGTATGTATGTATAAATATGTGGTATGTATGTATGTATGTATGTAGCATACATAGCTTGTCCAGGCAATTTGGCCACATCAAAATAATAATAGTGCGTGATTATTGTTCTTGTATTCGATTGGGCTGCAAAACAAAAGACAGATGTGACCAGAGCTGTATTCATAATAATTATAGTTGAGTAGAGGGTGCTCGTTGCCAGGGCTGCAGACGTACCGAATGATTTGAATGAAATTAAAGTAATTGCGCTGATTCCACTTGCCAAATGGGATTCGTAGTATTGAAACATCCCACTTCTGTACACTTTCAGCATCGTCTATAGACTGTGTAGCATTGACTATTTCATATCTAACCAGCTCCGTCGTCTGTGGATTTGCCTGGATGCGATTGCGGGATTGGCTCGGCTAACGGCTGTTCTTTAAGATCACATTTTGACACTGACATCGACGATTGTCGTTGGCTCCTAAATCTCCTGTTTCGTATCGTGCTCCTTGCTTCCTTGTTCCTTTAGGCTTGCTCCTGCAGCTGTGCGCGCGACTGTCGCACCGGCCTGTCCGACCAGAGCGATGCTTGGCCGCCGTTCTGCGCCTGGTAGGACAGAGGCGGGGGGCCCAGTTGTGCCTGAGGCACCAGCTCCGCCTGCGGATTGAACTGATTGTTGCTGTTGTAGTTGACCAAAATGTCGCTGGCCAGGCTGTGGCCAATGTTGACGCCACGATCGGGATAATATTGCTGCTGTGGCTGCGGTTGCACTTGAATCTGTTGCTGCTGCTGTTGCTGCTGTTTGTTGCTCTGCCGCCAGTGCTTGTGCTGCTGCACGGGCAGCAGACGATACAGGGGCTCCGGTCCGGGACCGCTCGGGTAGCTGGGCACAAAGTACGGCGGATACGAATGCTTGGCGCTGCCGTGGCGCAAACGCTTGAACTGTGGCGCCGGCGGCGGCGCTGGCGGCGGCGGCGCAGCGGGACGCTGCCAGAACTGCAGCGGCGCGGGTGCTGGCGGACGCAGCTGGTATTTGGCCGGCCGTGGCTGCAGCTGATTGTCCAAATAGGTGGCTGGCAGGGGCGTACTGTAAACGCCCTGCTGGCCATCGTACGGCGCATGCGCAGGCGCAGGCGAAGGCGACTGTAGCTGCAGCTGGAGCTGCTGTTTGCCCACCCGCAGTTGGCGCTGACGCTGCAACAGCAGCGAGTCCGGCAGATATGAGTCCTGGTCCTGCGCCGGCTGTATGGTTGGCTCCAGTTGTAGCTGCAGCTGCTGATGCTTGCCCACTCGCAACTGGCGCTGGCGCTGCAGCTGCTGCTGCTGGGGCTGCTGTTGGGGCTGGGGCTGATAGACTATTGCCTTGAAGGCATCCTGGTCCTGCTCGTCGGCGCTGTAGTTGACCATGGGCAGAAAGGGCTGTCTGTCGAAGTCGGGCGGCTGGAAGCGGCCCGTCGAAGGCGGCGCGATCAGATTGCTTCTGATCAGTTGGCCCAGAGCCGCGTCGTATTCCGAGTGCAGCTGGGCACGAGGCTTGGGCGTGATGCTCACCACGGCGACATCGTTGACGGGACTCGGCGGGGATTTGTAATGCGGCCGCTTGGGCGGCTTGGTGCCCAGGAAGTCATTGATCACATTGGACTTGAGCGAGGATGGCTGCCGTTTCGCCTCAAAGTATTCATAGTAAATCGGATTTGATTTCGAGAGCGGTGCCTGCTCCCGATCTCGCTCCCGTTCCCTGCTCCTCTCCCTCTCCCTTTCCCTCTCCCCAGCGCTCAAGCTGCGTTCCGTGCTGCTGGAACTGGGCACAAAGACCAGCTGTGCGGCTGGCTGCGGCCGCGGCGTCGTCGGCTGATAGTTGACGGGATAAATGGGTATGGGCACGGCCACTGGCACTGGCACGCGTTCCACATACTTGTTGGGCTGACGCGGCGCGGGCGGCAGGTAGCCAATGGAATTATACTTGACCGACAGCCGCGACGGTGGAGCTCTTGTGGTGGTTGTGCTTGTGGTTGTGGTGCTGCTGCTGCTGGTGGTGCTGCTGGTGGTGCTGCTGGTCGAAGTGGTGAAGGGACGTCGCGTTGTCGTCTCCAGCAGACTGAAGTGGTCTGGCGGCGGTGGCAGCACAATGCCCGGAACCAGCGGACCCGGCGGCACCGGATTGGAATAGTTGCTCCTGTACACAAAGTTGTACGCCGGCGGATAGTACAGCGAGGGATCGTCTTCGTCAAAGTCGCTGATGTTGCCGTGCAGGGCGCCCGGGCCGGAGGCATTGCCATTACCGTGCAGGCCATTGATTATCCAGGGGCCAAGCAACGGAGTCCTTAGCACAGCGTTGGGCGTCGGACTGGCAGGCGAATGGGCCGGCGTCTCGTTGTTAAAGAGCAGCCAGGGCGCATAGGGCGTCGGGTAGACGTAGCTGGGCTCCGGGTCAGCTGCCTTAGCCGACGCAATCGCTCCCGTCCGGGCAGCAGGATGCGACCCCGGGCCGTGGGCAGCTCCGTGGACTTGGCCGTGGGACGCGTGCTGACCCACAGCGGAAAGCGTTGCATTGCCTGCTGCCGTATGGAGGCCCTCGATTTGATTATCTCGGATAAGCTGCAGTGGCCCATGCGGCTCGAGCTGCACGGGAAATGGAGGCGGCACCACGGGATTCGCTGGCAGCTTGATCTGTCGGGGCGGCGCATCGTAATCGTCAATGGCTGGCCACGCATCAGCGCCATCGCCCTCCTCGGCCTCATTTAGGCCGCCGCCTTTGATGACCAGCAAGTGATCCTCGGCCAGCCAAATGTCCTGCTCGCTGAGTCCACCAAAGTTGCGCTCATTGTCCAGTGGCACCTCTGAGTTGCGGGCATAGCTCAGCACGCCCGGACGCTTGGGCACGCGACGAAAGAGCTCCTTCTCTATCAGACCGTACTTGCCATCGCGCACCTGATCCGCGAGCGTCTTCTTGGCATCCTCCTTGCTCTGCTTGCCGTGCCCTTTGGCGCTGGCTGCCTCCGCCTCCTCCTTGCCAGACCCTGCACTCAGCCGCAGTATGCCATTGTCCCAGTTGTCAAAGTCATCCGGCTCATTGAGCAGCGCCTCGTCATCGTCCTGGTCCCGCTCTGCCACTGGCGCTGGCGATGGCGACGGTCTGGCCAGACGATAAGTGCTGCTCGCCTTTCGTCGTGTTGTTCTCGTGCCTGGAATTTTTGCTGTTGTTGTTGTAGTCGGTTGTGTTGTTGTTGCTATTGCAATGCTCCTGCTGCTGTTGGCGCTCACCGCAGACACCTCATAGGTAGAGTGGCCCTGCGCGTTGTGAATGTGGCCAGCCACCAGGCGCTGGATCATACGCGGCCTGCGAACGATAACGAGACACAAAATTAGACGCCAGAGAAGGGGAGGGGGAAGGGGCTGTAACTGCAACTGCGGCATGATGCATTAATCAATGGCGGCGCCCAAAATGGGCAGACGCCAAAAACTGCCGCCAAAAACAAAAAAAATAAAAAAAATAAAAAACATAATATAGGGGAAAAAACCGACATCAAATCTAGAAATGAACGCGTGACAGACACGAGTTGAAAATAAGTTAAACTCTTCTATTTACAACTTTTACTTTCAATTTTCAGTTCCAAAAATATTTTCTTGCTTTCTTTTTATCCAATTTTTAATTAAAACTTTGTTTTCAATCGAAATCAGACTCTGTTCTAGCCTCTAGACATAAGGATTCGCATTTTCAATATCAAAGAAGGGATTTCCCAAAACAATTTTTACAAAACATAATCAAATGTTATTCAAGTTAAGTAGTTTTGAGATATAAAAATATATCTATGTATATGTATATATGCAATTGTCCTGATTGATTTTCAGTCAGTTTGGAAACTGAAAGTTTTCCTCGGTTACATTATGTTATGTTACGGCACGCGGAGACGGGGTTTTAGAAAATGCCATGCATAGAAAATTTGAACCATCCACGCCTTTTGGGTGGAAATTGGGTATCGAAAATTGTGTCATTTTCTAACTCAAATGAAATTTGTGCTTGGAAAATGCGTGTACAAAGTTGTATAGGTAAATGTTGAAGTTTCGTTCAATCGACTTTACGCTTATTTTCAAAGATCTAAAAACGTGCCGATTACGTCTTTCAGCCGTTTTGGAAAATCTACTCGCAATATCGGAAATGCTTAGGGAACTGATTTTTTGTTAAATTATTTTATTTTCTACTCCGTTTAGCATCAAAATCAATTTATATTTTCTATGCGAAATTTCGCACGTTTTGGAGAAACCACCGCCTTGGGTGGAAAAAGAAGGATTCAATTTGTATTAGTGAACGTTAGTTTTCGTCAGCTATTCCTTTAATCCTCGATATTATAAGCGAATGATGTCAGTTTAACGGCGACTCGTAATCGTGTCACGGGTGCATCTGCAACAAGAAAAAAAAAAGGAGAGAAACTCACGTTTTGAGGGCGCCGACGACGGCGCCGCTGCGCGACGAAGCGTTGAAGACGGCGAGTGGATTGGAGGACGCCGATGACAACGCTTGATGTGACTGGAGCCGCGGGTTGCGGGCGCTCCCAGCGCTGCCAGCGCTGCCCTCGCGCTCGCCCAGCGTTGGCGTTGGCGTGTCGCGTGGCTGGCGGGCGGCTCTGATGCTGCCACGGCTGCTGCCGCTGGTGCGTACATAGCTGCCGGCAGATGCTGGCGCCACAGTTGTCGTTGTTGTTGCCGTTGTCGTTGTTGTTGTTGATGTTGTTGTGGTGCCACGACGTCGCTGCTGTCGTGGCGTTGCCGGCAGCGGCGTGGTGGAGGTGAAGGTGGAGCTGCCGCGGCGACCGTTGCCATCGTCAATGGACACCGTTGTGGGCGGACGCCGCTGGCGTGGCGCTCGCAATGTTGGTGCCTGCGTGCTGCTTGTCGATGGGGCTGTCGCGCCGCCGGCTGCTCCTCTGCCACGCTGCACAGGCGAGCGTGTAGCCGCTCCCTCTGCTGCTGCTGTAATCGCTGCCGCCGCCAGCAGCGTTATCACTATCAAGTGCAAGGTTAACGATGTCATCTGTAAGCAGAAAGAAGAAGTCATAATTATTGGACATGCTAACGGTAATCGCAATGGTAGCCCCCAACTGGGAAGGCGCTCACTACAATTTGTAGGCCCACGTTTTCAGCGAGTGTGAAAACAACGAGTCAAGCTAATACCCTGCAGTTTTCGAGGGAAAGGGTTTCTTAAATCTATCGCCTGGAAGAGAGTCGATAGTGCCGATACTCAAGAAGTAAGCTGAATTCACGTTTGCTTACACGCAAAATGCTGCCTCTTCATAATAATCAAGTATAAAGAAATACCAAAACAAAGTTTCAGAAGACATTGCTTCCTATCTCTCAAACCGAACAGTTTTCATGCCCCAGGCGATATGCCCCAGAACGGACGGCAATGCGACATCTCCATGGACCAGTTCTGGCTAAGTTGAGGTAAGCTGCATAATGTTACCTTGTTAACAGAGCCTTGCCTAAATAGATACGCTTAAAAGAATTAGTAGTAAAGTATTAGCTTCCATAGTCCACATAACTAGATCGAACCCTCTATGAATTAAGTTTCGGTATGTATCAATCCCATCCATGTTCAGTTTACGGTTTGAGCTAATGCATCGCCTTAAGTTTTCATTTGAAGCATTGTTCATCATAATTCTAACAAATATCAATGGATTAACTTTATTTATTTTAAATTTATTGCAATTTTAGTATTTTAATATTCAGAAAGATAAGATATGTATTCGGGTGTGCTTTATTCAGCGGGTTCGCTAAGTAAAAACATTCGATTCCGGCTCAGCTCGAAACAGGTTTGCAGCCCTGGTATATGCTAAGTGAATAATATACCCAATTGTACCCATATTATACAGGGTACAACTGCGGTTGCATGCGCGTTCAGCTAACATTCAGCAAAGTCTGCTCGCTCCTCTCCATTCCATTCCATCCCATTCCATTCCATTCCGTTTCATTACACCCAACCTACCGCCAACCCGCGCATCTTTGATGCCGCTGCGCTCAAGTGCATCCTGCAATGGATTTGCCATCTGGTTTTGGCGTTTGCTTTATTCATTGTTGTTGTTTTCTTGATTGTAGTTGTTGTTGTTGTTGTTGTTGAAGCAAGCTCTGCGCACGCGCCAAATATCAGCTGGCAATTGGTGTGTTGTTATTGTTTGCTGTGGCTGTTTCTTCGCTCATGTTAATTAGCTTCGCTCAATTGATAAATGGCCAAATACGCTCTGCTTGCTGTTGTTGCTGTTCTTTTTGATTGTTGCAGCTCTTTTTAAACGCCTCTCCGCGTTCGATGATTTGTGGGCGCACATTACGCACAGAGTTGCGTCTCAGTTTTGGGCTGCGATGCGGCAGCTGTCAGCTGGCAGCTTTGAAGCTCCATAGAGCACCGAGTGCAATTGATATTGTATTCAATTGAAGACCTGTTTTGGTAATTATTTCGCTTTGTTTACCCTTGTTATGAAATTTTTAACAAAAAGAGTAACATCGCATTAATATTGTTTCATATAAATGCGAAAGATTGTCAGTTTAAGTATATCCCAGCTCCAGTTCCACATTAGGACCAAATAATGTCAGCAATTTCCGGTAAAATTTGATAAAGAAAATTCAAGAGAGAGTTTAGAGGAAAAATAAACATTTGCTATCACCTCAGCTATAAAACTTTAAAACAAGTTTCTAAATTTACCAAAAATAAAAAACCGAAAATAAATGTTTTTACACAAGTAGCTCCAAATTTGTCCAAATATATACGTTATTTTGCGATTTAATTTTCAGCATGAAACGTTTCTAACTTTCTGAACATAAAATAAAAACTCAAATCTAAAATCTTAAATATCAAATTATATTGCATATGAAATATATTTGGCACATAAATGAATTAAAAGATAAGATACTTTTTGAAATGTTCTGAATTCACGGGAAGCAGCTAGAATAGACACAGAAAATGTGAATGAAACATTTGGTCAATGAAGTAGACTATTAAAGGGAATGCTAAAAAATGGAACCGAGAATCAGATATATAAAAATAAACTTAACTTGATATGCTCAGTGGTGTGCTGGGATGGATCAAGAACTTGTAGATTATATTTTTAAAAAAAATTGACAAAACATAATATTAAAACTGATCAACGGAAGCTGATTTTAAGTATAATAGGAAAATGTGAACCGAAATCAAGCTATAAAAAACCTAAGGATATCTTAGGTACAGTATGAACTAACTTATAATTCTAGATTGAAAATGTTTTTTACTAAAAAGTAGTAATAGTATAATCCTAGAAAATATCGTATCAAATGAATGAACAGAGTTTTCTTGAAAGAGAATAAATCAATTTGTATGCTCGATAAACGAATATACCAGGTTTCTAGAATGTGTCTCACTTTAAAAACTTTAAAAACCAGTTCAGTCCATTGAGGACTTGCCTAATAACATGTCAGGCAATTTCACTGCAATTGCAATTGAAGTTGATTTACTGGCTCAAGTTAGCCAAGTTAACGATTCAATGCGAATTCCACAAATTTCAAATGCCTTTTGTGCGGCAACAGTGCAGAACAATCAAATTATAATACTTATAAAAAAAAAAAAAACAAAAAAAAATAAAATAAAAATGTGAAAAAATGTTAAAAATGAATTGGGTCCAATTTAATCTATGACACCATCGCCCCGAACTGCTTTCAAATAAACTAATTAAATTGAAGTAAAGCAACAAAATAACACAAAAAAACAATAAATATAACAACAACAACAACAGCAGCAAAAAATAAGGCGCAGGCAGTCAGCGGCTGCAAAAACAAGCGACTACAAAGAATTATTTATTGCCAATAGACGACGCCGCAGTCGACGTCGGCGTCAGCGTCGGCGTTGCCTTTCATTCAAAATGCAAAGCGCTCTGCAAAATCACGTTAGCTGGGCAGCGCCAGCAAGGCTTGGCCTGGAACGGCGTGGAACATGGAACGCGAAACGTGGAACGTGCGGCTCTATGACGAATCTGACGCGACTGCGCAGCCACTACAAACACCGTTAGGCAGCGGCAAGCGCGCGCACGCGAATGGTTTTCATGTTTTATGATGTACCCTGTACCAATTAAATGACAGTGGAAGGGTATATTCAGTCAGCAGGAGGCATACTAGTATGATAGACGAAGTGACGTAATAAGCATTTAATAATATTTTAATCATTAAATTTTGAAAAACCTTAAACAAACTGAAGCCTTTAGAGAGAATTACAAAAAAATGACGAAAAAAGTCGGTATACAAAAAAAGTTGTAGTCCACCAATATTTGTGTATATTAATAAGCGCTTATGGTTTCTTACAGGGTGTGTGCAAGTCGAGCAGTCACAAAACAAGCAGCTTTGTTACTCTTTTACTGTCTTGTATTTCGCGTTAGGTATTTTTTTTTTGTTTTTTGGTTTTTGTTTTACTTTTGATTGCCAAACAACAATTTGGGTGCTGTTGTTGTTGTCGCTGGTTCTACGTATTAACAAAAAAAAAAAAAATAAAAAAGCGCTGGACAGGCGCAGGCGCAGGCGCAGGCGCTGGCTCTGGCGCTGGCGCTGAGGCTCGCGTTGGCGCATTCCGTTGCCTCGAATCCAGTTACGAATCACGTTCCATTTGATTGTTTCAGTTTTTGGGGTTTTACCTTTTATAGCATAATTTTTGTTATTGTTGTTACTTTTTTTCTGTTTGGCTGCACTTTGCATCGTTCGCTTTGCTGCTGTTGTTGTTGTTTTTGTTGTTTTATTATTATTTTTGGGCTCGGCAACTGCGCCCACAGTGCGACGCCGGCGCCTGCACTTGGAAACACTCCAAATCCAAAACCAAAACCAAAACCCAAAACAACTTCAAACTCCAAGTCTTCAACCTGTCGCTTGAAGTTGGCCAATTAGACACGATCGCAGCGCGTATGAGTCAACCATCAAACAACAACAACAACAACAACAACGACTACAAAATTGACAACAAAAGTAAAATGTTATTTATGATTTTTGATTTCAATTTGTTGTCCTTGATTTGGGTTTGGCATTCTACGTTTTCGCCTCTGTCTCGATGTGAAGGCGTTAATGATTTGGGCGTCCGGTGGAGGCCAAACCAGGAGAATGATGGAGTGTGGCCGGTTGGGAGAAGGGTGTTGCGTGGGCAGCGAACGGTGTTGAAAACCGCGCAAGAAATGTTGCCCAACTTTCAAATGTATTTTGTTGTTTAACACAATATGGAAAATGACTGCAATTGTACAGCACTAGACCAAGAATCATAATTAATATTTGTTTGTATTGCAACACTTTTACTGCAAATTGGGGTATTGATAGATCGAAATGGAGCAGGGCGCAGCAATAATCATATTCATTAAATTTACATTTAAAGTTACCTTTTGATGTGTTTTTAATTCAAACCAAGAATTATCTTTAAAATGTATTAATATTTTCAAAAAAGGATTGCAAAACGTTTTTAAATAAAAACCTTCAGTTGAATTTTCCAAATAGAACACCGAGAATCATCTTTAATATTTGCCGCCTTCTCAACACTTATCCACAATTTTGTAAGCGCACGTTTATGCGCACTGAAACACCAATAAGTACTGACATCTGTTGTGGCATTCACATAGCTTTTAGTTTTCAAATCTGAACAAAGACAAACCCATTTATAATTTGGAAAGCCAATGTACGCTCTGCTCTAATTAATGTAACCCGTACATTAGCACAACAATTGATATGAAATTTCGGTGCTTTCAACATTACTTGCAGGAAGTCAGCCACAATTTGGGGAACCCACCCCGAAGGTTGTATTAATAGACCAACATTTCAAATAGTAAATACAATATTTTCATTCAAATTCACGCATTTTATTGTATTTACTAATTGGAGCAAACCAAAGATTAACAAAACAAATCCACAATTTGAGCTGTTGTTCACCAGCAATTTACAATTAAAATTAAATCAACATTAGCAGAATGGAGAGATTGGCTTGCAAATACACAAATAAACAATAACAATAATAAAATTACTCAAAAATCAAGAAAATTTCTCGTT